AACACACACACACACTTATGTAAAATAATAACATTTCAATTATTTACCAGTAAAATGTTTGTGGATTTTAGATAAGCAGAGGATTTTCTAAATGTCTTTGGCACTTCAGCTTGATTTTGACATTATGTGAGCTGGAAAAGAAAACACAGCTGCGAATATATATCATGGGAAAAGAGATTACCGTTACAGAATATAAAGGTCAAATTGACATCTGAAATTCAACGTACTGACTGGGTGGCAAGAATCTGAAGCTGTGGATCAGTAGATTCCAGAAGTTTCTGCACCATCTTGAGGAAGCTCTCTACGAACAGGTTGAGTGTTTGCGCATGGCACGCTACCAACAGCTGGTCCATAGCTTCCATAGCAATGACAACAAATCTACAAAACAATATGCTTTACTAAATAATTAATACTCAAAAATTAAACTCTACTTACAACTTTCAAAACACTAACATTTTATGAGAAAGTTCTTCTAGCACTGTAAAAGTTGGCAGTTTAATAACAATAAGAACAACAAACTAAGAAGTTTTACACTTCAAAGCAATAAAAAATATTGATTTGAGTAGGATCACCACATTAATCCATCAGCTAATGTATGCTTCAGTACAGGATTATATAACCCACAAATATTTTGACCTATGAGGAAGGTAGGAACAGGATGCTGGAAAAAGTTGTATAACAGGGGGATTCACAATTTATAAGTAACAGTTATATTAAAATTATCTTAAAGAAGAAGGATATAAGAGTATGGGTAGGGTTCAGACAGGAACTAGTGGTAGGCTCTTTGACAAATAAACATTTGGTAATGACCAGCTAAGAAACTATTAGCTTTTCAATAAGTTTCCTGCTCCATGTAATTAGTTAGATCTAAACAAGATATACATTAGTTTAAAAATGTCAGGGGCTATAAATCAAGAGAACACAAGAGTTCTGCTTACAAGCTTTGGACTGAATACTGCAGATCATTCTTCAAAAAAACACCAAATATTTGGCCAGACAAGTAGATTTCTCGTAATGACAATTTGCTTTTACACACTTCACTTTGAGTAAAGCAATTTCTGGCCAAAAACACACAAAAGCATCTGCCAAGTTATTTACTTGTCGGACCTTCCTTGAGATAATATCACTTGCATTCAATTTGTAACCTGGAGACTTAGGGGTCACAGATCACCAATAAGATAAAGTCATCTTTCACCAGAAATTACAGGTCACTGCTACAACAGTGCAACTATCTGAATTCTAATTAGTTTGACCCATGCATCCATATGACAGAGGAACAAGTCATAAAAAAAATAGATTTTATTGTAAGAAAAACGACAACATTTCAGAAAACAGATGTTTCATGTGAGCAGTGAAAAAGATACATATATTCTGAAATGTAATCTTAGTTTCTTTCAAAGAATTAAGTCTTTCAGAAATGACATTACCAAGTGTTGGCTCTAACAGCCACCTCCATTGTTTATAAAAGTTGTCAACTACTGTTATCCTTTACCCATTTCGCCGTCTGTAAATGTCTCTGCTAGCTCTCTGGAACAAATATTCACCAATGCGATCCAATTTTTCTGGAGATGACAGTGAATAAAATGTCAGCTTCTCCATGTTATTTTTAACCAATCCATCCTGCAGAAACAATGCACTCATAATAGCAGTTTGCACACACATATTTAACAAAATACTGTCACCACTTCCTTAGCATATATTTAATAAGATAATTTCCCTAGAAAGCATTACTTTATTTCTGAGTATATTTTAACAATTTTTTGGCATGTGTACTTCAGATTTAATGATACACTTAAATCTGATCTGAGCTTTGCAGGACATATGAGCAGAGAAATTTACTGTGATTTTTACCAACACAAAATCTTATCAACAGTAGTCACAAAATTAAGACAATCAGACAGAATAGATGTAGAAGTGTTCTCTTCCTAAAATAACAGAGAAAAGAATGTTTCAGTCCTTATATGTTATGAGTATTTCAAATTCATAGTATGTATTATAAAGTATTAGACAGTAAAACAAACAGTATTCAATATACATGTTTTTATTAACAGAATATGAGTTAAAATACCAGTCTCATACAACATGGTGCCAGAAATAAGCACTAATGTACTTGCCATTGGACATCCAACTGTGTGCTTAATATAAGGCAATATTTAAAAACTCAGCATTTAATGTGAAAAATGGGGAGGAAATTAATACATTTTTTGACTTACTTTCTGTACTTCACCAACTAACTAACTAACTAGATGGCTTACCGAACACGAAGGTTCATCACCGAGTTAACCAAAGCCCTCCACCGGACCCTGTCCTGGGCTAACAAAATCCAGTTCCCTTCAACTCCTATCTCCCATAGATCCCACCTGAGATTATCCTTCCACTCTGTACTTCACACAAGATGAAAATAAGTCACATTTTATTATTACATTTGGACCAAAAATAAAATATATTTACCACCCAAGGGTTAGTGGCCGTATTCCTGGAGCCCTGTCCTGAGGTTAAATGGTGTATATTGGCAAATAATTATTTGGGCGAGTTTTGATTCTTTACATAACCATGACTGATGATGTAAATATAACAAACCTGGGGATTGACTGGGAAGATATTATCAACAAGCCGCTTGTAACGGGGCCGCAATGCTGAACAACACCCACAGCAACCTATAAATAAATGTAATTTCCAGTATTTGTAACTATTTCTTATTGGAAATACAACAAATGTCTGAATTTGTATTCTGAGTCAAGATAAGATAAACTCACTTGTACACATTTCTTCTCATACACACAACAGTTAAAATACAACTACGAATTAACAATACGGTGCAAAATAGTTTGCATACATTTAATTAAATGATATTTCGACGAAAGAACAACAAGTAGCCATTGCCACACCAAACAGAAAATTTCCCACCTATGGATCTAGGCTGCCATTACAGGGCAACAGCATAGCCAACATAAGAATACGAATTGGTAAAATGAATATATTGCATTTCCATTCATTAATATACCATTGTTACACTTTCAATCACACAAAACCAGGTTTCTACAAAACTTTAAGAAATATTACTTACATCCGGGATCAGTGCATTTCTGAATCACAGAATCCAAAACATCTGGCAACTCTGAATCAAAACAACACTTTGCTAAATTAAATGCCATATTATTTACAAGATATTTAATTTCACATTATTTATCAAAATTGAACATTATGAGACAGTGGCATTTGTCGAGAGGTCAATAAGTCATATTTTCAGATGACCTACTTCGACTAGGATCAAGATAACGGAGAACGTTAATATCTCACATAATAATTTTCGCCAAGTCACGACATTATCAGCAACTACTGCCAAAACACCGTTGATAAATCATTCTGGGATTTGTTTTACTTTGGGAACACCACCACTGAATATGCTGTACACCAGGCACTGTAGGTGTCAGAATGACTACGCCTTGGTGCTATCCTGATACCACCCGCTACACATCTGGGGCTTCTCTGTCCTGATGCAGACATGCGCTACTACCAACTTAGAAATGATGTGGCCGAAAGACGGAATCGTACACAAAATGCAGCCTACGATTTCTTAACTGGACATATACATTAATAATAACTGTTTTTTGTAACGTGTCACTTAAATGGTAATTAAATTTCGACAAACACGATAATCCTTGTTTCTTTCATTCTCTGACGTAGTATAAGAGAATTTACGAAAGCTCGTGCCTAGACTGACTGAAATCGATCTAATAGAAAGTACAATATCGTCCAAAAGAAACTTCAACAGCACAGATTTTGTACAAAGCCGGTGAATGATTCATCCTTTTACCAGTGTTTGAATAAAGAAGACTCATACACACAGAAAGTTCGAAATAAATTTGTACCAAGAGCTAAGGTTAGTTGACTAAGGCATCACGAAACGAACCCCATAAATATATTCCGTGAGTAAAAGGCAGTTACTGACTATTAAAGCAGGCGGTACATATTGTCGCCACTGTGCTTTAAAGCGTTGGCTCTATGAAGCCGAAGTTAATTCATTATCATTGTTGTTGTTATTGTTATTATTAAACCTCCAGAACCTGCATCAAAGAAAACACAGTTCGCCTACATTACAAAAATTAACTCGTTAATGTTGTTTAAAGAAATAATCGATCTTTATTCTTAGTTTCTTATTAAACCCATGACTACACTGCGTGCAAAATGCAGAGTTATTGAATGTTTACGCAAATGGTACATATAGTTACCACTGTGCTTTAGTTGGTTAATAAATGCCGTGATCTTGACCGACCTTGATCTTTCCTGCGATTCTCTTTTGACAGATCCGATCTGACAGCCGGAGACTGAGAAAATGACTGACTGTATCTCCGACAAGCGACAGTGTCTACGCATCAATGACATATGTCATATTTGCATTTGAAGGATTCGGATAAAAATGGTGACCGATAGCTCGGTCCACAGGACATGTCCGTCGGTCCTGCGGATTCAGTCGGAAAGCTGAACGAATACTGCAAGACCTTCAGATTATATACAAGTATATAGGAGTACATAGAAGGATGGGATTTCTTGACTCACATAACAGCTAAATTTTATTCCCTAAATCTGATAAATATATGCGCAATAATACATTTCTTGACCAGACCTAATCGGTAGGGAACTTTTCGAAATTTCCCACAATATGTTCACAGCACAGTGCAACACAGGACGGTCACCACATTCGCCGCCGTGAGAACCTCAAATCTCACTATATAATTTATGGCTGTATACTGTGCAGTACCTTAACCGTGAAAAATAAACTTGTGTCTGTAATAAATCAACACCTAGTCCAATGCGGTACCCAAAATAGCGTAGAAAACGTTTAAAAAATATGTTCATTCAATTCTGAACTAAATTTTTAAACACGCAGCTTATTACAACTTCATGTTAATCACAACATGACTTATACAATTAAAAGACTTTTCTTCCTTGTGTTTAAACTAGAGCAACCAACGTTGCGTTTTAAAATCTTGAGTAAGACACTAAACTAACTTCATGTCTTATATGACAAAAAAGTAACTCATATACTTTAAAATTCAAATATTACTGGTTTTGACTTGAAAGGGTAAAATCAAATGCATCGAGAACAGACTGAAACTGCATGGATTCAGTAAAGCTAAATAAAGAGTCTTTAAGAGATGATAAAGTTGCGTCATATTGTGATAAATATATATTTGTTTAAATCTTGTCAGTCTAATCACAATAAAATTCTATTAAATATTAAAATATTACTAAAATTAACATTTAAATATTTAAAGTATATTAAATGATGTTCTCTATCGAAATGTTCGATTTACATTAGAACATCACTTTTTACACGACATGTTTCAGTTCTAAAAGAACCATCTTCAGGTGTATAAAAATTATAAGTATAATATATATATAAATATAATATAATATAATAATATAATATATATATTATAAGTCCTTAAGTAAAAACAGAAACGCATAAGCAGCGACGTAAAGCCACAAAATTGTAGATGGCAGAAAGTAATTGCACGTGTTCATATAACTTACAAAATATAATCTTCTTAATGGTAGTAAACGGATGTAATAACTTATGACTGTATTGGTACATAACACCAGAGAAGACTACAACATGAAAGCAACTTATTTATTCACATTACAATTTTGTTAAGCAATAAAAAAGAGATCGGAAAAGGAATTTATAAATGAAGCAAGGTCCAGTGTAAAATAATAAAAGTAGAAAGGTGTGCTACATTCTACAAGTATTTTTCATTGCGTCCTTTCTGATAATGCATACATCGATAGCCTTGATGAAGACGACTGTCTTCTGGGTTGTATCGCCGTGTAGTCTGGTTGAAGTTTACCAGCGTTTCCGAGGTCATACTGCCTCCACCATCAGGGCACCCTAATGATAGGGGCAGCAAGGACCTTCGGACTCACAGCTGTGAAAACCTCAAATCCTACCTAAGTCAATACTGCAAAATCAGTGACTGATTTAACTGGTCTTAATTCATAGCATGTGCCCCTTATTTTTACGAAAATCCATTTTTGAGAAAATCGACACTTCGACTCAAAACTCGTGCAAAGTTGTAGGTTATATTGTACTTACAAGATCAAACATTAAATTGACCGGACAACCTGTAATTTGACCTTCAATGCAAAATTTCATCGAAATCTGTCAAGTAGACTAATTTCGCATGGACACGGGTTTACCATTATCCATTGAAATTTATTCATAAAAGATCGTAGACTTTCAGGTGAACGTACCGACGCCACATAACAAAGGCATTCACTTGATAAATTGAATAATATATTATCGTGTGAAATATGTGGTAAATTTAACTGCGGTAGAAAAGAATCAGACAGCAAGAGCATAAATCCACAGGAGATTTTGATGTGTAAAGACATCCTACTGCCATTTAAGCATATTCATATGTACAAGAATAAATGAGACGTATCACAATACACATTTAACAGTCACTGTCATATACAGGGACTATTAATAAACCTCTGTTATAATAAACAGTCACAAATAAGCAGTTCACTAAATGGTAATCGTTATACAAATTATATTAACTAGATGTTTTGAAAAAATACATTATTATTATTACGATTATGATGATATAGCGACATTCAGTGACCTAATAAACCAGTACTCTATATGTCTATTGCTCGGTTCAAACCTTGAAGGTGTACGACGAAAGTGACTTCAATAGCAGATGGAGTAATCAGCTTCACACTCAGGTCGCCTTAACCCCGGGAAAGAGCTACCAGAAAGTGAAGGAGTCTCATAACTACACTTAACTCCCTAATACAAATAAACGTTCCTGACTGTGCCCGAAATCAAACACTGGTCATCCAAAGTCGTTGCCAGACACTTCACTGGCACAGCCAATGTTGTACTGGGCGATGCACCGTGGTATTAAATTCAATTCGATTTTTATTAAAAAAAATTCCGTTGGTTTAAATGTAACAAACGCTAAAAGATACAGGTTTACACAGAAATTCTAATCGGTTTTTTCAGGGTTTCAAATAATGCTCTTCTTATTCTTCTTCCAAACAAAATGCATCTGACCATCTGCCACGCCGAATGTGCCATATAGTTTAGTCAAAGCTTCTATAATTATCCTAAGCTAATTGCTGTTTATGTTTGCGAAACAGTTTGGAATCTCAGCGGCTCGTCAAAAGTGAGCATTTCTTAATGCTTGTTTGGCCTTCGGCACGTAAGCGGAAAAATTTACATTGCCATAAATGCTGGAAACCATTAGTCTTTCCTTTATCCGCTCGAGGAATGCAAGCTCGTTCGGGCTTATCCATGTTGTTCTGTTAATATAAAAGTGTTACTATGGACTAATTCCCGTCCAAGGAATTATAATGATTAAGTATTTGTGATTGTAAGTGGTAGGCCTAGATGTAAGATTCTAGATTGGCTGTAACGTCAATAAAAAGAAGACAATTGACCTATATTCCTTGACTAGCTTCACAACCAGCAAAAACAGAGCCTCGCTGTGTGAGATTTCAGGTTCTCAGGCGACTAATATGAAGATATCTGCTGAAATGTTGCGCCATGTAGTCTGGTAAAAACTAACCCACGTTTCAGAGGTCTTTAATGCCGTCATCATCAGAACGAACATCCTATAACATTTTAGAGTCACTTTATTCGGTCATAATGCATATTTAGCTCCCTCTGTCGGCGACACTCAGCTACCAGACACGTGTTGAAAAAAAGCTATCTGATAGCGAACATGAATGTTTATGATAGCTATGAATATTCACGAACTTGAAAGGATTCTTATGTTCTGAGGCTTGCAACTTACAGCCAATATAAAATTAAAGTTCTATTAAGCACTAACTAAACAAACTATGGATGGAAAATATGCATGCATGAAATAAAGAAATTAATTCCCAGCACAAACCATGTTATAAACAAGCTTCTTTATGGGTGGGTTTTAAGGTTCTCACGGCGGAGGGTATAAAGATTTTTGTCTTATGGAATCTTGGGCCGTGTATCTGGCAGAAGTTCACTGACATTTCAGATACTCTTGCTATCTCTACCATCACGGCGACTCAGCACCCCTGAAATGCCAGTAAACAACTGCCAGACTACACGGCGCAATATCCCAGAACACAGGACATCTTTTAGCGTCTTTATGCACGGTCTAACATACGAGTACATCCGTCTGACGCTCATTCAATGAGTACGGAACACGATAATCACTCCATCATTTCGCTGTCTACGTAACGCAGACATTTTTGATCAGAAGTTCACGTCAAATGCAAAAAGAGAAATCCACATTCCTCAAGAGCTGAACTTTTCACGTGTTTATACATCACTATAACTACATTCTGACATGTCCACTACGACATATTAGTGGTAAATACTTGTTCGACTTACAACTATTTAAAAACAGGAAAAGCGACTAAAAAGTAAAACGGCTGGTGAAATTGTCAGAGGTTAAAGCAAGAACACGGAGTTTCTACCACCTTTCGTCTCTGACGTCAAGTGTTGATATCCGAAGATGCCTTAAAGAAACTTCACCTGCAGCCGAGTTATCGGTCTACATCACCGAGTTCTGTGATTAACTCCCGGCTAGAAGACCGGAGTTCAATTCTGGAAAGTTGTTCGTGCGCGGCTTACTCATCGTACTGACGGTGGAGGCAACAAGCACCCCTGAAACGTCGGTAAACTTCTACCAGACTACACGGCGCAACATCCAAGAACACATTCGTCTTCAGAATGGGTTTCATACATCTGGGTAGTGAAGACACGAACAAAATCGAACTGTTCCCGTGTATGGTCAGATTACTCATCTTTTATGATAACCGTGGTAAAAATCCAAATTTCTGAACGAGAGATATGCTTATCAGACGAATAACAGACCACGCTCAAGAAAGACCTCCTACCGCAGAGCGAAGAGCTAGGAATTGTCACTTAGAAATGTTACTTAAGAAACATTTCGCTCTCAGACCCCTTAGCCGCTAGAATCAACCGGTAGACAAAGGCGAAGATAAAGTTTTCCTTGTGCTTAAACGTAAGCAGTACGCCATTGAGACGTATCAGAGTATGGAGGTAAAAAATACAAGCTTCCGTCGAAAAGGCGCCATATACTTAGGGGTAGTGGTAAGCCACTTTACCACCGCAGCAACTGGTATAACGCCAACCAGAGAGAAACCTGGATGGAAGTGACAAAGAGAAAAATCCCTGTCCTGGCCGGGAACTGAAATTCAACTAGCGAGTCCGTAGTCAGTCACTTTGCCGAGTTCCCGGGTTTTTCAACAGGAAGGTCTACGGGACAGTCCGACATCACCTTAGATTAATCACACTTTTACCAAGCAATTTGCAAAGTAAATCGAAGGTAAGGATTCAAAATCCATTCTGAAAGCAATGTGTCATATGCTATTGTTGCTCGCTGATGCGGGACACTGGAACCACGTTAAGTGGGTAAAGGATGGTCATTACCGTCCATTACAGCGCACAATGTTCTTTTTTTCATTGGTCTACGTGTCTTAATTGTGATTTCGTGGGTGACGTTTGCACCTCTAGACAGTGGTTAGTCGCCATGTTCTTTCTGGTTGTTGTGCTAAGCAGACCTGTATTGTGCATGAATACAATGAGGTCAGTAGTATGAAGAACTACAGATATCCCCGATGAGAACCACATGTTTCTTGAAATATACAAAACTTATATAATATACATTATTTCCAGTTAGCACTCGTTCGTAGTGGTCAGCAACCAAAGAAATTGCTTTCCCGGTGAGCATTTCTTTGCAGATTCAATCAAATTAGGGTAACAATTGAAATTTTACAGCCATCCGTTTTCCAATTTGCAGACCCCTTCTATTTTTGGATAGTATGTACTTGAATTACACAAATGCTAGACTTGCGTGTTGCTTTACCTTGAACCAGATACAGGTACAATTTGGCTGCACGCGACAGAGACAAGCGACCGAGGCAGGCGACAGAGACGGGAGACGGACACATCGCAGCTTGTCGCCACACACTTTTGAGGTGACGACCGAGACATGCGGCAAAGTGTTTGTTTTCTTTGTTTTGTTGAGACATACGTGCACATATTCTGT